TAAAATTTAGAGAAATCATAATGCCACCAACTACAGATTACGATGAGAACAGCACGGAAGTACAAACAATCACTGTACTCCTACCGCAGCAGGAAGTAACAATCATTAATACCTACCATCCAGACAACTCTGACATCAACTTAGATCTCCTTAACACGCTTTTGGACATAAAATCGGACACAAAAAATTCTTTAGGAGACCTAAATGCCAAGAGCCCATCTTGGGGGGTCCAGGACTCCTAGACTTGAAAGGCTCACAGATTGAAGACCTGCTCTGTGACAACGATCTCTCCATACTAAATGACAAGAGAAGTACCTACCTCTCCAAAACCAACGGCACAACATCAGCCCTTGACATCACGGCCATTAACCACCAAACAGCAAGTCAAGCGACATGGAAGATTCTAAAAGTGCTATTAGCGATCATTTCCTATTATAACTTCGATAAATCAAAGAGTTGATGGCACCATCCAAAGCAAAAGATCCTGGAACTTTCGGAAAGCAAACTGGAGAAAATTCACCTCTGAACTTGAAATGCTCTGCTCCCTTTCTTCGCCACACACCCTCGACGAGACTACGGTCCTTTGCTTCGCATATTAATGCTGCTGCAAAACGTTCTATCCCTAGGTCAAAAGAAGAAATGACTGGGTCCCGTTTTGGAAAGACACCAACATAGAGAACTTAATTAACGAACGTGACAAACTAAGTACAGAACTTCAGAAGAATAATACTGAAACAAACAGAATAAGATTCACGAACCTTTGTCACGAAGTTGAAGAGGTTATTTCCCTCCTGCAAGCGTAAAAAATGGACTGAATTCTGTGAAACTTTAGATCCCAAAAAATATCTCAGCATTGGAAAGTCATCAAACTCTTAATAATCAATCAACACACCAAAAAGCAGACATTCCTACTAATATCATATCATCCTCTGGAAGAGATGCAGCCACAAATAAGGAAACTGCTTCCCTGCTAGCAAAGCACTATGAAAACAAAAGCAAGTTAACTTTCAACGCAAATGACAGGAAACTGCTGCGTACCTACAGGAAAAACCATCCAAGACTCAAAAAGATATAACCATAAAAACATCTTCACCATACCATTCTTAATGGAAGAGCTAGAAGCTGCCATTGCTAAAATGAATCCCGGCAAAGCCCTGGCCCGGATGTTATTATTTTTTGGCCGCATGGTCCAACACTTTGGAAATCTTGCAAAAAAGAACTATTGGAAATTTTTAACCTTTCATGGGCTACTGGCAAATTGCCCAAAATCTGAAACTTTCCACCGTCATTCCAATTTTGAAACCAAACAAGAATGCTTCAGAGTGCAAAACTATAGGCCAATTTCCCTCACCAGCACCCTCTGCAAGCTCATGGAACGGATTATCCACCGTAGGCTTATGAACTGGCTCATCGAAAACAAAAAGCTTCACTTCTATCAAACAGCTTTCCGAACCCATCATAGTACTACCGACCAGCTCTTTTACTGAACCAGTCGATAATTGATGGTTTTCAAGAAAAGCCTCACAAGAAAACTTTAGCAGTATTTTTGGACATCTCAGCAGCATTTGATAGAGTTTGGTGTCAAAACTGGTCCATACTATCCAAGGCACCGGAATTAATGGCAAAGCGTTATTATGGATAAATGATTTTCTCAGAGGAAGAAAATTTTCCGTTAGATTTAACGGGGCACTTTCAGAATCTCGCAGAATGTGGCTGGAGTTCCTCAAGGCTCTGTCTTAAGCCCCTTGCTCTTTCTCATCTTTATGAACACCATCCACCATCATATTCACCCAGACACAAATATCGCCTGCTACGCTGATGATATTGCTATATGGCACTCACACAATGACATTACAGAATCGGAAAAGGCCCTAAACACAACACTGAAAGGTATTGCTGGAATGGGCAGAGAATCTTAAATTAACCATCAACGCAGACAAAACAAACTACTGCTTCTTCTCTACCGATAGACGACACAGAAGCAGTTTTAATGCTAATATCAAAATACAGAACTCTCAAATCAAAAAGTCGACCTTCCCACCTATCTTGGAGTAACCTTAGATCCTGAACTCCGCTTTTCAAAGCACATCGAACAAACTACCAACAAAGCTCTTGGAAAACTGAATATTCTTCGAAAGCTATGCGGAACTTCTTGGGGCTCAAGACCTCAAACCCTAAAAAGCACTTTCTGCACTGCTATCAGACCGGTTTTAGAATATGCGACCCCAATTTGGACTCCGGCCTCTATTTCTGTTAAGCGGAAACTTGATTCTGTACAACACAGAGCTGCCAAAATTATTATTGGAGCAGTGTCATCAACCAATAATGAAAAGGCCGAACAAGAATGAGGCTTGCCTCCGCTAGAAAGCAGGCGCAAACTTGCCACTATCAAGTTCACTAATAAACTACGCTCATATGGTTTGGACCATATCTCTAGAAGAGTTTTTGATAAATGGAAGCATTCTACAAGGCTCAAAAGATCTTCGACTCTCCAACTTGATAGTGAATTCAGAAAAGAACTCAATTTGGATCATTCCTCCTTAGAGTTCCTTCAGGAGCCCCTCATTCCAAAAAACCCACCAAAGAATACTTGTTTCGAATTGGAATTGCTGCAGCCATGTTCCAAAAAAAAAAGAAGACCCTGTAACTCTCAGACAAAAAGGACTGGAAACGATAGCAATACTCTCTCAAGATAACTTTGCAATCGCCTACACTGATGGTTCCTCAGACAGATCCCTCAGCAAATGGAGGTGCCGGAATCATCTTACTCCTCCCAGATGGTAATAACTACAAACACAAAAAATTAACACAGGCATAATCGCCTCAAACTTCACAAGTGAACTCGTGGCAATTAGAGAGGCCCTTTTATTATATCAACAAAACCCACATGTTATTGATTCTACAGAAGGATTAGTAATCTTCTCAGATTCTAAATCCGCTATAGAAGCCATAAGAAATGGAGAGACTAACATCTCCTGTGATATTATTACCCTTCTAGAACAGCTGCACAACAAAAGAAAATCCTGTATCCTGCAATGGATACCCGCACATGTCAACATTGAGGGTAATGAATGTGCAGATAGCCTCGCCAAAGAAGCTAGAGACATCGAACATAAGTGCACCACCATCACACTTGATGATGCTAATGCAGTAGCCAAACATAGAATTATGAATCACACTTTTAAAAACCCCTAGTTACGGAATTTGACTGTCCCCGAATTATAACATCCACAATTGCCAGATTGAGAACTGAACACCTTAAGGGCATGAAGATTCACCCAGACAAGACAAGATCATATGTTCAATGCAAACACTGCCCAGATCTTCAACTGACGCCCAATCACATCTTGGAATGCCCAACCGTCGCAACAAAGTTACTAAAAATGGGAATGGTCCCTCTGAGGGACTCTTTGTGGGAACTCCTGTACAGCCCTGATGCTCCCAGAATAGCAGAGGCAGTGATCAAGACTTTCGACGGAATCTAGTGATATCTACTGCATTTATTCATGGACACGAGAACAACAACAGCATCGTGGTGTGACGTTAATATTAAATCCTCAGTTATGGTTGTTGAAGACTTTTTGAAAGGCGCCAAGATCGCCGAATGAAGCGAGTTGCACTCGAATATGAATAGTCGATCATTAGAGCTTCATTTTTTTGCGTACGTCACATACTATCACGTAAGTGAGCTTTAGAAAAATGAATGTTGCAGGGTTTTTATCCTACTACTACATAAAAAAGGGTCCTAAATACAATTATACCTTTTTCAGCAATTGCATTAAAAAATATATTCCTAACATCAGTTTCATGCTCATTTTACATTAGAAATTTTACAACAGAATACATATAAATTTAAGAAATCTTGTTATTTAAACAGAAAATGGAAAACTGTTAAGTCTATGTAATTTCTGAGGTTACTGAATTATACAACAAAAAATGACTATTTATTTTAATTAAAAAATATTCTTTGAAAAAGTAAAAACTAATATAATTATTCATATGCAAATAAAATTATGAAAATTCGGAAATTAAATATAAAACTTTAGTTCAATGGAAGAAAATTTGTAATTTTTCTCCATATTTTCAATTCTAGGGCTGTTTAGAAGAAAAATGAATACATTTTTTTAACTCCTTGTTTTTTTTATTCTTTCAGTCATTTCCTCTGAATTGGATTCTGCATGCGATGTCATTTGTTGAAAGCAGCTTACGATTTTTCAATTGTATTTTTTATAAGTAACATTTTTATCATTTATACATTCGATAATTCTTCTTATATATTTTTTTAAAATTTCAATATATTAATGTATGCAAACAAAAATTGAATCACTTGCTGTAAAACAACATGCTTAGCATGGAAAACAGTAACTATGGTGCATGCGACCTTAAAGTAATAAGTCGGCCGTGTGGCGTGGTTGGTTTGTCACTGGCCTTCTGTATCCAAGTTTGTGGGTTCAACCCCTGTCCAAGTCGGTAGATTTTCATGATGCAGAAAATCGACAGCGGCCATGTCGTATGATTATACGGCATTTTGAAAAGAGTATTAGAAATGCTGATTTTGTGAAGGAAAGGGAAAATTTATAAAAGTAGGGAAAGCCCGTGCAAAACGAAGGTCCCTGCAGCTAGTATATATATATCATGTTCAAATTTTCAATCGTTAATAAAATATTTTTTTATTCATCCTTAAGTTCAAATACATTTTTTAAACTTGTAGTTGATGACACTTGATGTTAACACAGTTTTTTTATACATAAGTTTACTAATTAAATTATTTAATGAATGAATAGCAACAAACAAAAATAACAGTCCAAAACCATAAAATAGGAAAATCACTCATTGTGTCCCTGTAGCACAATGGATAGCGCCTTGCAACCCACAGGTCATGCGTTTGAATCCTACTTGGGATGGTCTAATTTCTGAGAATGTGATTTATGAATGAATAAATAGTAACAAGCAAAAGTAATAGTCCAACAGCATATATAGAAAGGAATATTTTTCGTTTTGTCCCTCTAGAGCAATGGGTAGCTCGTTGGACCTCTAATCCAAAGGTCGTGGGTTTGAATCCCACCTGAGATGGCATAATTTCTGAGTAAGCGATTTCATTTTATTATACTTTTATTGGAATAATTAAATTTAATTAATGAAGAAATATTAAACAAAAATAATGGTCCAACGCCATATATAGAAAAGAAAATGGTGAAAACTGCAAGGAAATTCGCTTTCTGTTTTGTACTTAATATTGTGATTCTGTCATATGCACACACATGGACAAAAAAATTAGCGCACCAAGGAGTCGTCAACATGAAACGAAATTTTACATACGCTATGACTACTTGTGTATAAGTAAATGATTCGAAAATATAAAAAAAACATCATTTATTTCAGAGAAAAAGGCAAAAGAACGGAGGATTTTATTCCCTGTCGAACCCCCCTAGCGTGAATGCATGATGCGGGCATTGAGGCATACAAGTTCTGTATGATGTCTTGAGACATTTCGCTACATATTTGCTGTAACCTTGTCTCTAGTTCGTTCAAACTCGCGGGATACCCCACTTACAATTCCAAATTATCCCAGATATGCTCGATTGGAGGCAAATCTGGGGATCGGGCAGGAAGGGTTGTAAAAGTGGGGAGATACCCTTGCCGTGTGAGGCCGATTGTCTTGTTAAAAAATGGCTCCTGGGGGCCGTTGGACGAGTGGTAACACATACAAATGCAGGATGTCATGGACATACCGCTGGGCTGTCATGGTGCTACGGATCAATACTAGGGGTGACCATGTGTTGTAGGCAGTGGCACCCCATACCATCCCACCAGCTGTGGAGTGGGGTGTCGCTGTAAAGCAAAGGCAGGATTGAGATGTTCACCACGGGGTCTCCATACACGAACACGATTGTCATCACTGCTGAGATTGAATCTGGATTCGTTGATAAAGACGACCTGGTTCCATTCCGTTGCACAGTCCAGTTTCCTCGTGCACGGCATCACTCCAAATGGAGGCGTCGATGGGTGGGTGTCAAGGGCAGCACACGTAATGGGCGCCGCGATCCCAAATGTTCTTCGGCCAGGCGCTTTCGTATGATTCGAGAAAACACAAGGGCTCCTAGTGAAGGTGGTAACTGTGCCTGGATGGCGGCCGATGAAGCAGTTGGCTGTACGCGTGCATTTTTTACGATGTGGCAGTCTTCTCGACGACTGGTCTGTCGAGGGCGTCCTGAGCCTGGTCTTCGTGTAAATGATATCTCTCGGATCTACTGGTCCCAACACCTCCTCACAACACAATCAGAGTGGCCTAATTCACGAGCTATTCGCATAGCTGACCACCCAGCTATTATCATGCCGATGAGTCTCCCACTCTCAAACAGCGACAGCTGCTCATATTATCTTCGAAAACGGTGTAATGGCATGTCTACCTCAGCTCTTCCTTTTGTAAATGTTTCAACACACTCAAACAAGCTTTGGTTACCTGTTTTATACTCCTCGGAGAACAACCTTAAACGCCCTCTACCGGCTATACGTAATGCGCAATCACGCTGCACTTCTAATCATTTGCATATCTCCCCGACATGTACCTTCGTGACAAGTTTCGTTACGATCCCGCAATTATTTCTTGATGCGCTAATTTTTTTGTCCATGAGTTATATACATATTTATATATAAAAATCTTCTGTGCGTGTGTATGTGACTAAACTCCTCCTAAACGGCTGATACGATTTTGATGAAATTTTTTGTGGGGGTTCAAGTGGATTCGAGAATGGTTTAGATTCACAATTCGGTCCGATATCACAATTAATTAAAAACTTCAAAAACCTTCAACTCAATATTCACCTGTATTGTTGTAACAACATTATTGTTATAAAAATGACGTAAGTTGGCGTCGAAAATCGATTTTCGGCCAAACCCAATCTTTATTGTTACAAAAATGCAGAGGAATCATGCTTTTTGACGTTTTTTTAGTTAATATCTTTTCAAATAATCTTTATATATGTAATTCTTCTGTGCGTGTGTATGTGACTGACTCTTCCTAAAAGGCTGGACCGATTTTGATGACATTTTTTTGTATAGGTTCAAGTGAATTCGAGAATGATTTAGATTCACAATTCGGTCCAATATCGCAATTAGTTAAAAAGATATTAATTAAAAACATTAAAACGCATAATTGTTTTCCCCCTGTGTGCTGTTTATTCTGCTAATGCGCGACAAGAAAAAAAAAGAAAGAAGAGGGGAGAATTTCCAATATTTTTTTGCCGTTTTTAAAATTGCAATCTAATTTTTCTATCAAAATCAGACGAAAAATAATTACAATTTCGGAAAGATTATTCATTTCGCCACGATACGGCATATATCTTTATGTATATATAATTCTTCTGTGCGTGTGTATGTGATTGAACTCCTCCTAAACGGCTGGACCGATTTGGACGATATTTTTTGTGTGGGTTCAAGTGGATTCGAGAATGATTTAGATTCACAATTCGGTCCGATATAGCTATTAGTTAAAAAGATATTAATTAAAAACATTAAAAACGTTCAACTCAATATTCACCTGCATTGTTGTAACAACGTTATTGTTACAAATATAAAAAACAAAATTACAAATTGTTATAATGACAAAAGTTGGCGTCAAAAATCGGTTTTCAGCCACACTGGAATTTCATGGCGTTGCTCTGTTAACTGTACTAATTAACTTTGTTTAAAAAATAAATTCTTTTAACATGTGATTAACTGGAAATATATTATTAAAATCTCAATTTCTACAATGTTTTACATTTTTTTACAAATTTCTATGGATTTTTTCTAATTTAAACTCCTAAAAAAAGATAAAACTATTTTTCAAACAGATTGGTACATTTTTTTTAACCTTTTCCGACGCTGCCAAGTTAATTTGAAATAAAATATTGTAAAACTTCAAAAAAATTTTGGAATTTTGTAATTAAAAAAATTCTGCTTTTTTTATACATAAAATATTGTTAAAAAAATATTTTTTCCGTCTTGGGGAGCCGTAAAAATACAAAGAAAAGAATTGGAAAAATCGCCAAATGCCAGTAATAGTTAATTATGGGAAAGCTACCTCAGAACTCACGAGTTAGATTACTTATAGCGCACGTGCGGAAAAACAACTTACGGGAGAGTACGTAAGCAGATAAAAGATTTTTCTGTCAGATAAAAGTATTTTCTTTTTGAATGTTTTTTCTTTTATAATGAGTGTGTCTTTTCCAGTAATAGTTTTATATGTATATATATGAGTTATTAAATGTATATATGAGTTATGTGTGTACATGAGTTATTATATGTGTACATGAGTTGTTATTATACGTGTACATGAGTTAATATATGTGTACATGAGTTATGCATTATATGTATATATGAGGAATAGTATGGGTGCTTATAGCGCACGTGCAGAAAAATCGCAATTAGTTAAAAATGCACCAAAATTATGTAAGGGCGCGTGATTGTTCATAAAAAAATCGTGGACAATATTTTTGAGCGGCAAACTTCAAGGTGAAGTTGTACTTCTACCACAAATCCCAATGATTCTTTCACTCACCAACCCATTCAAATGTTTGCAATTTCCAATTCGCTCGGCATTTGCTATGACCATTAATAAGTCACAAGGTCAAACAATGACAATTTGTGGCTTAGATTTAGAAAACCCTTGCTTTTTGCACGGCCAATTACATGTTGTATGTCCGAGGTTTGGCAAACCAACGCATTTATTTGCTTATACCCCTCAAGGATTAACCAAGAACATTGTACATTCAATGGCATTACGATAAATTTATTTTCTGTGCATTAAAAAAATGTACCTGTTATGAAAATAGCTCGAGTTTTATCTTTTTCACCCTTTAATCAAAACAAGTTTATAAGTTTCTATTCAGAATAGCTTCTATATTCAACTTAGTTCATAGTAGATACATACTCACGCGCAATTGATAGGTCGAATTGTGGTAGCTGTACATGTGATGAGGTCAGGTATTGTAATAACTTTCTTTAAAAAAATTTCATCAAAGCGGTCCAGATTCTTACAACTTATTCATAAAAGTTTGTAATTTTCAGATTTAAGACTTGTGTATACAGGACAACGTCTGTCGTGACCACTAGTTAATTATAATTATTTAATAAAAAGTAACTAAAATAAAATTTTTCTTTGTTGACCTAGGTAGGAATGTACTTAATTTTTTTTTTTAAATATTACTTGCTTTTCTACAGTCAACACGTTTGACTTCTATTTGGATTGTAAGAGTAAGATCTTTTTTCCTTATACAGGGTGAGTACAAATGATCAAAGGTGGATTAAGCTTGTTGGAAGTCCCTGGCAGTAAAACGTTTGAGGCTCATGGGCTCAAGAGTCGAAAAACTAAAATCGTGAAAAGATTCACTGACCGTAAATTCTCAAAATAAAATGTATTACTTATAATAAAACTCAGCGGCTAAAGGAAAATCTTAACTGTACTTAAAAAAATTTTTTTTAAAGACTTACTGAAGAGCCTACAATTTTGTTATACAACTATACTTCATGATTTCTCTTTGTCAAGTTCACCAATTTTTTTTTTTTGCCTAAAACATCTTGTTCTATGTTTAATAAAGCCATGTTGTTCAATTTGTCTTTTCTCTCTCCCTTAGTACTTCTTAAATAATTTTTTTAAAATTCACTTTAAAACTGAAAAATATTTATCTCATGATGCGTTCGGTATCAGCATTGTTAAAAATATTTTTTAAAGTATCTTTACATTAGGATTTCTCTTGCAACTCGATAAATTCCTAGTTGAGCTCCTAGAAACTGTTGAGAATGTCTTCTTAAAGGAATTCTTGGCTAACATCAATACCTCAAATTTCACTCAATACGCTCACGAACTTTACAACACGCATTTAAAACAATCCTAATTTACATGTTCTGAGTGGCGGTACTAGTGTCACACTTTAACGCGAAATTTGAATTGATGTCATCTTTCAGATATACAGAGTGTTTTTTTTCTCCAGGTGTAGAAGTTTAAGTTGGCATTACTTTCCAAGATGGCGACCGATTTAACAGCTGTCAAGTGATTTATTCTCAGTTTGGTTTGGTAATTCATCATGAAT